TCCAACAGAGAATAAGAGCCAAAAGAGTTTACTTCAAATTAATCTGTTTAAAAGATCCACTTCCTTTGGCTGTAAGGTCTTGCTATAACTAATACCAAAAGGTTTCTTAAGAACAATTATCTTGGGGGACGTTATAGGTGGACTTCAATTTAAGGAAACCCAATATAGAGACAATTCAGACTCATACAAGATAAATTAGAAAGTGGCTTTGCTTTCAAAAGAATTCTTTGTTTTACAGAAGGATTTATTGTACGGTTTCTTTAAACATGGTTAGATTTATAGAAATTCAATTTATATATTACTTTTCAGGAGCACATCCACTGCCTAAAGCAAGATACAGTGAAGGACTGCCTACAGCTTAGATCTTTTATCATTCTTATGAATACTGCCTACTGTCAATATAAAAGCATTGTTTCAATGCTCCCAATGCAATGGTTTCTGGAATAAACAAACAGCAGCAAGGTAATATGTAATCAAGTGCTAACTGGTGCAGTATAGATAATAAATGCTGGAGGAATCAGAAAAGAAAGATGAATGTGTGCCAGGATGGTTGAGAATGGCTTCATGGAGAGAATCATAACATTTTAAAGCTGCAAGGAATCATTAAAAAGTGGGCTTTAATACAGACTTTTAAGAATAGGAAGAATCTGGAAAATGAGAGGGCTTCTCAAGAAAAAGAGAAAATACAACTTTGTAGCCCCAAAGTAAAGGTCCTGTTCTATGGATGCTCAGACACCCAAATCATAACCATTCACAACTATGCACATAATATGGACAGCACTTCTTACTGCTACTTGCAAGCCAGCTAGATAAAATGAACTGAATCTGTGGGCTTCTTTTTACTCTATTAATTTGTCTCAGTCATTCACTTATTATTAATACCTTATTGAAGAGCATTTTTCCTAATGAGGACCACTGATACCCAGAAAAAAAACTGCCGTACACAAGTAAAAAGTAACAATAGGGGTTTTCCCCTAAAGAAATATTACAACAATCAACTAATTTTTTAAAAGAACAGAGAACATAAACTAAAATTAATAAATGTAATAAATAAAAGTCTTGTTTTACACATAATTAAGTAAAAGACTGAGACAGAGAGGTGAAAAGAACAGAAAGAGGAAAGAAGGAGTGATAGTAGTGGGAATGGAAGAAAAGATACCTAAGAAAGAGAACTGAGAAGAAAGTAACGGTAGAGGATGGATATAAAGGGGGAGAGGATGGATATAAAGGAGAAACAAAGAGCCCAAAAGGAGAAGGTAGTTATGAGGTGAAGGCAGTAAGTAGTCAGATTAAACTTCCTTAGTCAAACTCTGTCTCCATCATGCTCATCACTTGTATTGATAGTCAATTCTCATCACTTTTGAAACTACAACTGGCCTTCCGACCCTTCTTCCTTCCCTCAAGAACTTTCCCTTGTATCAAACACAACTGACAGAGAGATTACGTCAGACACCGTATACAACACTATACACTCTGTAGACTCACTGAGGAATGTCACTGATCCTCGGAAGGCAAGACTGGAAGCAGTGTGGCAAAGAAGATTGTGCTCAGAATTAAGAAAATCTATGTTTGAATCTAGCCTTAAATACTATTTGTGAGACCTTATGTAAATCATTTTCCCTCTATGAGCCTTAGTTTCTTCCTCCGGCAAATGGGGATAATAATGAGGATCAAATGAAATAATGTATGTAAAAGTGCTCTGGCAGACTCGTTATTATTTGATCGATTTCTAATGTTTCTAGCATTGTTTTCATTTACATTAATCATTGTGCATTTTCTTCTGGGTTTGCTTTCTTTGCTTCACATCAGTTCATGTTCATTACTTCCTATGGAACAGTAACATTCTAGTGCATTAATATATAATAATCTGTTCATCCATCCCTCAATCAAGAAGTACCCACTCTGCTTCTAGTTTTTTATTGCTACAAAAGTGCTGCTAAGAATATTTCTTCTAACATCTTAACTTTCTTTTTTTTCTATCATTAAATATATGCCTAAGGGTGAAATTACCAGGTCAAAGGATAGGAACAATTTGGTAACTTCTCTTGCACATTTAAAATTGTTTCCCAGAACAGCCTGACCAATTTTCTGATCTACCATCGGTGTGGTAATGTGTCTGACTTCCCAATACCCCTCCAACATTGACTATTTCTACCTTCTATCATCTTTGTCAATATAATGGATATGAGATAAAATCTTATAATTGCTTTAATTTGTATTTATTTTTCTTAGTAACAGTAATCTGTAGCATTTTTTCCCTATGGTTGCTAAAAGTTTGGATTTCTTTTTTTGAAGAAGAAATGGCATTTGACATGAATATTTATCTACTGGGAAGACTCTAGGTTTTACATATCTGTATAATTTCCCTATATATTTTGGACACTGGACTTTAATCAGACATGTTTAAGACAGCCTTTCCCCTCCCTAATCAACAGGGTAACCACAGCTTCCAAACAGTTGTTATGGGGGTTTTTTGTTTGTTTTACCAAAATTCCAGGATTTAGTTGGGGAATGGCTGAACAAATCGTGGTAGACTAATGTAATGTAATACTATTCTTATAAGAAATGATGAGCAGGATGATTTCAGAAAAACCTGGACAAACTTGCATGAACTGATCCAAAGTAAAGTGAGCAGAACCAGCAGAACACTGTACATAGTAACAGCAATATTGTATGACGATCAACTGTGAATGACTTAACTATTCTCAGCAATACAATGATACAAGACAATTCCAAAGGACTCCTCTCCCCACTTCTTTCTTCTCCTCCCCACTCCACTCCACTCCTCTCCTATTTTCTCCTCTCCTCTCCCTTCACCTGAGGAAGTTCTGCCCAAAGAAAGGGAAATTTTGATGGCCAAAAGCTACCTAGTTAACTTGGGGTTTACTGGCTAGATTTCTGGTTTTGAACCTCAGCTCTATCACTGATATGACTCTCTCCACTGGTCCCTTCTGGCTAGATCTGAGTTTATGAGTATTTTTTGAGTCAAGATCTTAAATTCTTTGAAGGTCTAGCTCAGTTCTGGGGAAGGAAGGAAGGAAGGAAGCATTTTTATTAAGCACTTACTATAATGCCAACCTTTTAAGACTATGCCCCCTTCTCTCCTCTGACATAGCCGCCACTCTGGTGCAGGCCCTCATCATCTCACCCCTAAGCTACTGTAATAGCCTGCTGGTGGGTCTGTCTGCCTCAAGTCTCTTCCCACTCCAATTCATCTTCCACTCAGCTACTAAAGCAATTTTCCTAAAACAGAGGTCCAACTATGTCACCTACTTTACGCGATAAACTCCAGTGGCTGGCTCCCTGTTGCCTCCAAGAGCAAATACAAAATGCTCCCTTATGCATTCAAAGCCCTCATAATCCAGCCCCTCCTGCCTTTCCAGTCTTACTACACTTTACTCCCCCACTATGTACTCTTCAATCCGACGAATGACACTGGCCTCCATGAACAAGACACCCTCTCTCTCAGCTTTGGGATTTTTCTCTGGCTATCCTCCATGCCTGCAATATTCTTCATCCTCTGCTCTAACTAAATCAGGTTCAAAAATAATGCAATACTTAACTCAGCACCAGAGAAAGGTTGGCGAAAAGAAGGCAGAGAATATAGTCCTTGCCTCCAAGGAGTTTACAACTAAGCAGATCTAGAGAAAAACAAGTTTTACGTGTTATTTATAAATTTGGATCCTTTACTACTATGCTAGCAAATAAAAATTTACTTAAAAACAATCAATCAATTAACATTTATTAAATATTTAATATATGCAAGATCCTGTACTTAGCTCTGAAGATACAAAAGGAGGCAAAAGACAGTTCCTACCCTCAGGGAGCTTACAACCTAATGGAGACACTATACAAACACATATTAACAAAGCAAGCTTTAACAGGATAAACAGAAAATAATCAACAGAAGGTCTTCTAATTATAAATACAAACATACACATACTTCTCTGACCAAAAACTATTGGAGAATAGAAAGTCAATGACTTTATAACTGATCCAAAACCAACTGTACTAACTTCATTTGGTGTCTTTATTGGCTGTAAAGACATGATGAAAGGGATTACTAGAGTGCAGAACTCATCAAGACCTCCTTCTCTTAGCTCCAAATTACATAAGATATCCTGAACCATATTTCTAACTGGTAATTCAGGAGATCTTAAAAATAAACAATATGCACTTAGTATCTTATATAATACTTATGTCAGCTTATCTTCCCCTTCTAAAAGTATAAGGATATGAAAATAAAGCAAATAAATAATTACTTTAGGTTGTTTTAAGAGCATCAAAAGTACTTGCCAAGACTCAATGAAGGAACAACTGCATTACACACTGGGCTTTGGTTTATCTTTCACGGAAGTTAAAGATGCCAGTTGGGTTGTAACTTGGTTATGTCAGTCTCACAGTCTAGGCCATGTTCAGACAACTACTAAAAGTTTCAATGCCAAAGAAGGGAAGAAAAAAATCTCTTCAAATTCCCTCGGATTCCTGAAGCAATCAGATCCCAATTTTTAAAAAATGCTTTTAAGTCTGTATAGAACTGCACTGGACCAGGACTGCAGGGAGGGCCTTTTCCTACACAGCTACAGTAGACATGTGGCTTGCAGCCTGGATAAAACTGCTACTGCAGTATTATTTTACACAATATTGTAGCACTGTGTGTAGCTGGGGCATATGTTCTTCTCATTTGACTACACCAACAGTAAGAATTCTTCTGTGTGTTTCAATGAACCAGCCAAACCAGAGGGAGAATCACATTCCATGAGTATTTTGAGGAAGACAATATATACTTACCAAGGAGGAAGATGATGATGAATAGCACACGTATTATTTGAATAGAGCCTTTTCCAAAAAAAGGCACTTCAGTATAAAAATTTCCTTACTCACCTGGACCTTCAGATCAGGAATGGAAAGAGATATCACATATGCAAGAAAAGCTGAGAATCAAATCCTGAGGGACAACACACAGACTATCCAGTTACATGTAGTACAATTCCAATTACCTTTGAAAGCTCACTCTTTTGCCTTTTCCCAAAAATGCAATCCAGATCTGTTTTACTCCGAGAAGAAAGATCCTTTCCTAAAAAAAAGCAACATAATGGATTCCATTTGTTTTTAACCAATCAACAAATGCATATTTTGAAACTACTAAAATAAAGATGGCTTGTGGAAAGAAAATGAAACAGTATTAAAGACTTACTTTCTCTCATTTACAGAAAAGATATTATTTAAAAAAAATTAATTTAGCAAGAATTCAGGGAAGCATGGACAGACATCTATAAACCGAAAGTAAAGTAAGCAAAACTAGGTAAACAATATTCATGCCAACAACAGTGTAAAAATAAATAATAATAAAACAAAACTAAACACAGTGTAATTATAATGACCAACATTAGACCTGGAAAAAGGTTGAAAAAATGTAACTCCTTCCATTTACTGAAGAGATGGGGAACTACAGGTATGCAATATTCAAAATTATGTCAGACACAACTGATATACCGGTCAGTTTTAATGAACTGCTTTTCCCCCTTTAAATTTTTGTTTTCAGATGAGATGGAAGAAATATTCAGGAACGTGACATAAAAATACAAAGGCATACATTTTTAAAAGTCAAACAAGTATGTTAGATCTAGACATGGCAAAAACCTAAGGAGTGGAAACACAGTATGAAAATGAGCACAGGACTAAGAAAAAACTCAATTATGAATACAGGGAAGCAACTGACTTGCAAATTTTATATTCTGAACATAACCAATCAAAAAAAGGCCATTTCCTAGTGTTTGTGTATGTGTATGTGTATCAGAACATAAAAAGAGGCTTGTATATGAAACTGTGAATCATCGTTTCATTCAGATTGCCTTAAAAAAAAGTATCTTAATTCTCATGTTTCTTTCAAACGTATCCTGCCTGGGGGCACTTGCTTTCGATGCAGGAGGACCTGAGTTCAAATTGGACTCGGGCACATAACACTTACTAGCTGTGTGACTCTGGGCAAGTCACTTAACCCCATTGCCTAGTCAAAAACAAAAACAACAACAAAAAAAACCCCCAAAAGTATCCTGCCTGTCTGTGCTTCCTTCTGAATTTTCCGGGTTCCCTTCTACACATTAAAAAATGTTTCAGTAGCTCTTTTGGGGGAATTATTACCCCAAACCATTCCCCAATTAAAAAGAGAAAGGGAAAAAAATAACCTGTATCAAATAATTATATTAAAGTAAAATAAATCCACATTCTGGCTATGTCCAAAATTTATGTCTCTTAATGAGCAGAACCAAGAGAACTTTGTACACAATAAGAGCCATGTTGTGTGATGACTAATGTTGATAAACTGAACCCTTCTCAGCAATACAAAGATCTAAGACATTCCCAGAGGGCTCGTGGTGGAAAATGCTATCCACATCCAAAGAAAAATCTATGGAAGTTGAATTGCTATCATTTTTTTTTCTCTTCTGTTGAGTTTTGATTCCTCTTTCTAATGGTTCCTCCTATTGGTTTTAATTTTTACTTACAACTTCACTAATCTGAAAATATGTTCAATAGGAATGTAAATGTATAGCCTATATGCGCCGTCTTGGGGAGGCAGATGGGGAGGAAGGGAGAGAAAATTTTTAAACTCAAAAGCATATGGAAGTGATTGTTGATAAATCAAAATAAATTAATAAAATTTAAAAAAAAGAAAAAAGAAATAAACACATTCTTACAAAACTCCAAAACAAACAAACAAACAAACAAACAAAACAAAAAATGCATGTCTCTTTCTGCACCTTGAATCTATCACCTCTCCATTGAGGAAGTATTATAACATGCTTCATCACAGTCTTTTGGAGACATGGCTGGTCAACACATTATTCAAGAGTTCTTTAAGTTATTTCATTTTTCTTTTCAATGCTGTTGTCCTTGTATAAATTGTTCTTCTGGTTTCACTCCATTTTGCATCAGTTCATACTACCCAGGATTCTCTGAAATTATCTTTCCTCATTTCTTACAATGCAGTATTAAATTACATTCACATGTGTGTATCTGTGTTCAAGCTCCTTTGTCCATCTTAAACGAGTGAAGTTCATCTGATGCCCATTTCTCTCCTTCCTTCATGTTTGCATACCTTTCTCACACACCCCAATTATGAGAAATACCAAGTACTATCCCCCCTTCTTTCTCCTTTCTACACTAGTTTATTCCTCCTTTTATTCTCCCTTCTCTTTCCCTTCTTCAAAACTCTCTGAACAGAACCAATTCATACCTGAGTCCTCTTTTTCTTATTTAATTTCCTCAATACTCTTTGAAGACATTAAGGTTCTGAAAAGGACACTTATTTCTTCTATCATTATTATTGTTATTATTATTATTACTATTATTATTATTGTTATTAATGGTTAGCATTTACATAGCACTTAACAGTTTACAAAACACTTTACAAATATCTCATTTTATCCTCACAACAACTGTAAGAGGTAGGTATTATTATTATCCCCATTTCACAGATGAGGAAACTGAGGCTGAAATAGCTAAATGACTTGCCCAGGGTCACACAGCTAATAAGTGACTGAAGCTGGATTTGAACGTTAACACTATATCACCATACAACCCTTTCCAATTATTCAAATAAATTTATCTTTCTTGGCTTCTTTGATTCTTGAGTTTGTGTCTCCAAGTTCCTATTTAGTCTTTTTATCAGAAATACCTGAAAGTCCTATGGTTCCATTAAAGGTCCATTTTTTTTCCCCTTATAGGATTATCCTTGGCTTTGCAGGAGATTCTTGGTTATAAATCTATCTCTTTTGATTTGTGAAATATTGTATTCCAAGGTCTCTTCTAATATACTATAGAAGCTTTTGAATATTATGTTCCAGATTGTTGTTGTTTCTTAGTACTTTACACCTGCTTCTTTCTGGATGCCAGTAGCATTTTTTTTTTAATGTGAGAACTCTGGATTTTGGCAACATTCCTGAAGCTTTTCCATCTAGCTTTTTCTTTCAGGAGATGACTAATGGATCAAATAATTCATTAAATCCTTCCAAGTAAGTATGTTCTGGGTTTCTAATTTTCCTTAGCTATACATGGCAACGTGAAAAATCCATGTTTCCTAGTAGAGATCTACCTCTAGTTCTCAGGAAATCACAGAGACCTCCTAGCTAATAAAATACATAATTTTAAATTTATAATAAAACTGCAATTCATCCACTCAAAAAAATTCTGCTCTAGTGCCTCAAAATGGTATCTCAAGAGGAATGACCCTAATTTACACTCCAATGGAGTATAAGCTCTGGATGGTTCTACTATTCTGGAAAGGCTTCAAGAACAGTTTGGGGGTGGGGAGAGTGGGGGAGGCAGACTGTGTCTGCCTTGCAAGGACCAACCTAGTTAAGTATGAAGGGGACTTCATCATGAATAAGTTAGCTTTCAGGTGATGAATTCTTTGGCCACTATAACCCATTACACAAATAAAAACACGACAGTTCCCCTCAGTTTTGTGCATCTCTCTTCAGCTTTTGCAGAGGAGGTGGAAGAGAGGTGAAAAAGTAAACAGACCTTAAGAATGACAAGGTTTTTTTCATTGTCCATAACATACAACCATGCTACTGCTACTCTAAAAGTGAGGTGCTTTTCCAATAACCAATAAGTTGACATAACATTAGCTAATACACTACTAGAGGAACTGAATTATGTCAATATTGATATTCTTGCTATAAAAGAAACCAGAAGAAATAAATTAGTTGCAGCAAAATGGAAAGATGGTTTACAGGTTCTCCTTAAAGAGGTAAAGTAAGAAAGGTGGTCTAAGGTAATGGAAGTAATGGCAGATTTGGGATCAGAAGACTTGGATAAAATTCCACTTCTACTATACCACCTAATACCTGTGTGTCCTTTCTATTTTTCAGTAAGCATCCTTGTACTTCCAACTTGGGCAAAATAGGGAGATCAAGCCTTAAAAACAATAGCAGCAGGTTGAGCATATGTAAGGCCTTGGGGCGTGAGGAGAAAAGGAGATCATTTATTGAGTATTTAAGTCAGAAATTAATTTTCATTCTCAGGATGTGAATACAACACGGATCAAAAATAAATCTGAAAATCCAACGGAAACCCATCCCAAACTGCATAAAGTGAGTACTCAATTGTTTCTAGAATTTTTGGGGGGTGAATTCTTGTAACAGAATTTTTGATCCTTTAATGAAATTCATCTCCTCAGTGTAATGGACTATCACTACATCTGAAGAAACAATGAATATGAAAAAGTAGAGAAACACAGAAAGACTTATATGAATTGATGCAGAGTAAGCAAAACCAGGAAAACAATATGACTACAACAAACAGGAAAAAAAAACCTAAACACAGCCTAATTATATCGTTCAAATTTGCCCCCAGAGAAGAGCTGAGAAAATGTGCATCCCTCCCTTCTTAACAGAGATGAGGAAATATGTCTGTGAAATACTACTAAACTGTCAAATACAGTCCCATATGTTGGTTAGTTTTGCTGAATATGTACTTTATCTTTTTAAAAGGAAAGGTTAGCCATGTGGATGGGGAGAAGTGAGGAGCAATATGTTGAGAAATTAAAGTGATATAAAAGCAAAAGGTATCAATGAAAGATTTTTTTTTTAGGAAAGAAACTAAGGAAATATACAATACATTTTAGAAAAAAATTAGATTGAAAGGAGTTGAAGTTATATACTTTTAAAAGTTTGGCACTTAGATAAACTTTAATTATCTAGAAAATTCACTGAAGTAGATGCTGAATACTCAAGTGAATAACTGAGGTATCACTACACTTTGAGAAAATACTATACTTTGAGAAAAAAAAGGGCAGGGTTGCTATGACAAAGTAAAAAGATGCTATCTTTAAAAACCAGCACATCAGGAATAATAAGATCAATGAATATGATTTGGGGCCAAAGATGGGCTTCTTAAAAGATGATGATGAAGACAGCAACATTAACTAATGTTTAAATAGTATATTAAAGTGGGCAAAGTACTTTTAATTATTACCTCATTTGAGCCCCACAACAATCCTGTGAAGGAGGTACTCAAGGAATTATGATTACATACAGCTAGTCAGTGTAGGAGGCAGGATTTGTACCAAGGGCTCCCCTACTCCAAGTTCATGCATTCCTAAGGTACACAGCCTTTCTCAAAAATGGGATAGTTCGTAGTATTTTTAAAATTAATTAAATAAAACCTATAATGTGACAACTGAAAAATCAAATGTCAAAAAAATTAGAGAAGGCAAAAGTTATACTCAAACAATGGAGAGGAATTCATACCGCCAGAAGATCACAAGATCAAAGATCTGGAGATAGAAGAATCTCAGCAGTTATCTGGTTTAACCCAGAGCTGTCATACATGCTGTCCCTGTTGGCCCTCACAACTCCTGAGTGTGGCCTGAACCAGATTAAAATGTAATTGGGAAACAGTTAACAACATTTTAAAAATACAATAAAACACAGATGACATTACATTTTAGAACTAAGTTAATACATGGCCTGCAATATCTAGATCATTTCAATTTGAGTTTAACAGCACTGATGTAACCCCTTATTTCACAACTGAGGAAACCAGACCCAGGTAGGTTAAATGATTTGCCCTAGGTCATTTTGGTATTAAGCTTCAGAAGCAGGATAAGCCAGTGCTTCTCCACTATACCACCAGCGCCTTGCATTTCTGGACTAGCAGGCTACATAATCAACCTAGATCAAATATTTCACAGTTACATCATTACTCCACCAATATTAAAAAGATCTTCAGAGATCTTCAGCAAAGGATTTAATGAAAGATATGGCCCACAGTCTCAATTTATGAAATAGTTGTGATCTATACTTGAGGGAGGAGTAGCAACACTGATGAGACTGTGCAGTCATCCGAATGAAAGAATGAATGAATGAATGAATAATAAAGCATTTATTAAGCGTTTACTATGTGCAAAGCACTGGGGATATAAATGGAAAAGGAAGACAGTCTCTGCTGTAAAGGAGTTCACATTTTAAAAGAGGAAATAACACATGGAAAGTTTCAGAGGCAAGACAGAAGGAAAAGTCTCATGGTTCTTAGGGTGAAGCAAAGTTAATGTTTCTTCATTAATATCATTTCCATTGATGTAATAATATCGATTTCTGGTACTGAACTACTTGGCAGTACCAAGGACTTTTGGAGCAAGAACTTTGCTTTCCAGGTCTTCAGTAGCTATGGCTTTGGCACTTAAAGGAGCAGGTGCCAGGCTAGATCTCTCCACAGGGGTGGCTTCCCAGGGTGGCAGTTAAGGGCATTGAGCTGCAAGCATTGCTATTTCCAAGACTCTTGGGTTCAGGGACCTGCACTGTCTCCATCAAGATCTGAGGGGTGATGGTAGCTGTGGCAGTGGGTCAACCCACCTGGAACATGCTAGGCAGCCCATGCTTCAGCTGAGTAGGCTTGCCTGTCCCATGGGTGGTAGCTGGTTGGCTGCTGGTAAAAAAGACTGGCCCCTCTACAAAGGAGTTGCTTCCCCAGATATCACATAAAGGAAATGTTACCAACAGTCTTTGCTTCTCTACTTCTCCTCACCCACTGATACTTCTGGGCCTGTTGTTACCATTTGGTCATGCCTTAGTTTTAGCAGCTTACTTCCATTTCCAGGAGTTAAGTACCTGCTCCATATAAATCCAGGATTTCAACTTCTCAATGTGGGTCTACCATCTAGTGGTGAAGTACAGCATTATAGGAATTCAGTGTTGATGTATACAGGGGAAAAAAAGATGGCATTTCTAATCACTGTGTATTTGGATTTCACGGTTCCCAAAAATATGTTGTGGTAAAAGGCAGGGAATGTCTTTATCAGCATTGATGAAACTTCAAAGACAATTAAAAAACTACTAGGGTTTACAAAGAGATGAATTCTCTTTTCCATAATAAAATATTATCCCCACAAAACACTACTTAAAATTAAGGAGTGTATTATCCAAAGTTATTATACATATTAAAAAAACAAACCAAAATGAGAAAGAACTCTGAGAAACAAGCAAATTTAAATGGGAAATGAATGCTACAAAATTCAAAATTATGATGACCATGCTTGGCCTCAAAGAAAAGATAAGAGAAGATACTTTCCCCTTCTTTCTTTGCAGAGGTGAATGATACGGTATATAATATCAGACTTTTTTTGAAATGCTAATTTATTAGTTTTATAGAATTTTTCCCTTCCTTCTTCTCAAAATTTAAAGTATAACTCTTTGGGAGAGATGAAGGAAGAATACAGAGAAAAATTTAAGTGATGTAAAAATAAAAGACACCAATGAAAATGTGTATCACAAAATTTTTTTTTAATTAAATAGGAAGAGGTAGAGCCAAGATGGCAGAGGAGAGACAATAACCCAGCTGAACCCTAAATGTGCAATACTGCCCTCCAAACTTTAAAATGTTGTTTTAAAATGTTAAAATATACTTTCAGTATAAAGTATTTACTTATAATTGAGTTGAGAGAAAATTCCTTTTTATCTATTCACTTCAGTATTTTTATCAAGAATGCAGGCTTTTGCATCTATTGATATCAATCCCCTTTTTAAAAAAGCCTCTGGATACCTGTGTTTTATTGGATTGATAGTCTCAATAGTCTCTGATGTTGAAGCAGCCTTCTATGTTTGATATAAACTTTTCTGGGTCATGAGGAATCATTTTCTTTATTCTACTGGCTGATATTTATTTAATATTTTTGCATCTATATTCATCAACAAAAATAAGTCTACAATTTTTGTTTTTAGTGTTATCTTTATCTGACTTTACAACTGGTATCACATTAGCCTCATGAAAGGTATTGGGTAATTTTCCAATCTCTATTAATATTTATAAATAATCTATGTGTGGAACATGTGGATTCTTTGAATAGTTTGGAAGAATGCCACTGTGAAACAATCTAGATCAAGTCTTCCAACCCCCTAATTTTTTTGATGACTTGTTTGTTCCTCTAAGATTGATCTAATAGGGTAAGCTAGGTTGCACAGTGGATAAAGCACCAGCCCTGGAGTCAGGAGGGCCTGAGTTCAAATCCAGTCTCAGACCAGACACTTGACACTTACTGTCTGTGTGACCCTGGGAAAGTCAGATGGATCTAATAAAAGTATTCATTTCTAAAAAATAAATGAAATGAAATAGGATGAAGATAAGTTTTCATCTTCAATTATTTTGTGATCTGTGTGAACAAGATCACTCACTTAACATCAACAGACTAAGACAAAGACTCTTAAATTCTATCAGAATCATAAAAGGAACATCAGAGGCCATCTACTTCAATCCCTAGCCAAACAGAAATCCCACCTGCAACAGCCCTAACACCAAGCCTCTATCCAAGCCCCCCCGTGACTGGGAACCCAAAGCAGTCTAATTTTAACTATTTTAGGAAGATTTTCCTTCTGTAGATAAAACCTGTCTCTCCTTCGACTTATTGTTTTTATGTCCATGCTCTGGGGCCGGGCAGAACAAAAAGCCTAACCTCATCTTCACAGGATAGCCCTTCAAAGACTTAAAACAGCTATCATTCCATCCCTCACCCCCTTAAGTCTTCTCTTTTCTAGGCTACATTTTACCAGTTCCTTTAACAGATGCTTCTAGTTTGACATGGTTTCTAGTCTTCTCACTATTCTGGCTGCCCCATCCTGGACTATTTCAAATCGTCAATGTCTTTGCCCAAAAAGAAGTACCCTGAACTATATCTTACTTTGTCATAGACTTTCCAAGCCATCCATAACAATACTGTTACATTCAGATAATTATACATTGTCATCAATGAAACAAGATGTTTATTCTTACCTTTTGTAAATTTTGTATAGTGAACACGTCTTTTTGAGGACTTCGACTTCTCTTCAAGGCTAAAGGATTTTTTCTCCTTGTTTTCTGAAAAATCTAAAATAAAGACAGAAAAGTTCAATGAGCAACATCTCTATTAAGTTATATAATCTCATTCACATAAAACTTTTAAGAGCACTAGAATTTTTAAGTGCTATTATATTATTATCAATTAATATTGGCGGTTTGTAATGGACACTGTAAAGAAAGTACTTAAAGTAGTCTTTGTCCTTTAGAAACTTATAAAGTTACGGTGGTATGCATAATGAAGCATTTAAAAAAATAAAGAAATGTGGCAAAGGAAGGTTGTTCCTCATCCAGAGTACCAAAGCAAATTACTGACAAATCTAGCACCAGAACTCATTGGTTCCTGCTATTCCTAGGATATTCACTTACTATACGGGCTAATCTTCATAAATGTCCACATATGTAAATAACAAAGTTGGGTCTTAGATAAATCTTACAGATAACTAGTCACTTCACAACTTTTACACCTCAGCTATAAACTAAATTGCATGTCTTCTCTCAATGTGATCTTACAACTTCATTCAAAAACGACCTTGGTTTAAAGTTTAGATAGTATAATTACCAAGAAACAAAGTCTCAGAAAGTATATTATAAAAAGTATTAGCTAGCAGAAAATGATTATCTATCTCTTCTGAAAAACACTGAAATCTCTTAAGTTCTGTCTTACAAAAAATATAGATTTGGTGTTAGAAAGGAGGGGGAAAGAGGAGTAAGGGTCCTTTATTCAGGGACCTATATGCAATTAGCTTCAGTTTTAAAAATCACAAAGCTAGACACAGAGTAAGAGGCAAAAACATAAGTAATAGTTTCTTAGAACACATCCAATAAGATGTACAACGGATTCTTATTCAGTAATCTCAAAATTTTCTACATCTAGTTCCCAGGAACAATTGGCTCAAAATTTTACAAAGGCATTCTAACTATGAATGTTTTTTATTACTTTTTTTTTGGTCAATCAAATAATACCATTGAAGCCTACAGTCTCTTAGCTTTTAATGGCACACCAGGATTCAATAACAGAATTAATATACCATTAATTATTAATAAACATTAATTATCAAGAAGCTATTCAGTTTCTTTGATCTTCAATTTTGACAAGTGATTTCCAATTCAGAGGCCAGGATATACTTTGCTATATGGACTGTGTTCATTCCTAGTTCCTAGTAAAATTTCAGACATCAGAAACCTATTTTAAAATGGAAGTAAACCAGAATATAGAGTCTACTGTCACACAATCAGGAAGTGAGCAGGCAGTGTGATCCTGAGGGCTTTGACAACCAGTCTTAGCATGGGTTCCCTCTGAACCCTATCTCTGAGACTTAATCCTACCTGTTGCTTTTTTTAATTGTCTAGTGTCACTCAGGAGACATACCCCTCGCTTTTAGTTAGGTTTCTTTCTATTGTAGAAATAGGTAAAGGGGCAGTTAGGTGGTGCAGTGGATAGAGCACCAGCCCTGCTGTCAGGAGGACTGAGTTCAAATCCAGCCTCAGACCAAACACTTGACACTTACTAGCTGTGTGACCCTGGGCAAGTCACTTAACCCCAACTGCCAAAAAAAGGAAAAAAAGGAAAAAAAAAAAAAAAAGAAATAGGTACACCACCACTACTTCCTTTGTGTCCCACAGACAGTGTCAGTTAGGGAGGCCAGCCAGCCTAAAGCCAGTATCTTGGTAGAATCAGAGGGAAATGGTACCTCATGGGCTGACCTCAACATGCATGAGCAGAATATGATTAGAAGAGTGTTTCAGCTTTACAGGCAGAAGCTGCAGAGTCTTTCTCCACCGTTCTCTAACTCTAGAACCAAGACTTTTCTGCTATGCATTATTCTTTCAGTCCTAAACACTCTATAAGCCTGTTTTACTCAAAAAATGTTTTGATGCAAATTATTTCGTAAGACTGCTTTTGCAACATATTTTTTGTTCTCAACAGTGTTAATAAGTAGACCTAATTTTTGACAAACATTTGCATATTCAAAATCAATGTAACAATTTACCTTTGCCAAAGTTTCTCTTAAAGGAAGACTTGGGCAACTGTTAGTTACATGTTACATGAACCGTCCTGAATTGTACTGAAGCTTGGCAGAGTGGAAAGGTTCTGGCTTTGGAGGCACAGATCCTAGGTTTGGATCCTAGACTTTCTGTGTGACCTCCAGCAAATCCCTTAGCCTTCCTAGGCCTGTTTCCTCACTTGTGAAATGGGAGGCCTGGCCTAGATCCCCTCTGAGGTTTCTTCCAGCCTTAAATACATAATCCTATCAGATGGTCACACAGAACTGATGGCAACATGGAGTGAGCACCCTCTTGTGGCACTGACATAGAACTTCACGCTCTAGGTAAACCTATCCACCCAAATGTAAAACCAAGCTGGTGATATTTCTTTGATTCATGAAAAAAAAAAGGACACTAGGACATACCCAGGAATATCTACTCCCAACCAAGAGAAAGCAGAATATCAATCCTTGATGTGAGGTAAGTATATCCACAACTGTTCCATAAAAGTGTGACCTGTGTGTCTTTGCATCCTCAGCACGTAGCAGCGTGCCTCACTGTAAGTGTTTTACAAATGCTTATTAAATTGAACAAGTGATCACCCTGTCAAACTTTAACATTCACAATAGTCTGTTTTCTGGCACAGGACAAAGAGAACCTTGAAGTCTGAAAGATGCTACATAGTCTTAGTTTCCTATGCCCTGGAAACCTCCCTACCTCTCAGAGGGTCCTCAAGAACAAACCTACTTTAGAGCAGAGGGGACCTCCTTGTTTTGATCTTGTTTTATTTCAGTCCAAACAAACATCTCTCATCTGGAAGATACTGGAAGTTAATCAAGGCGAGTACAGGCTGTTCCAAATGTGAGTATTTTTTGCACCACTAAGACAATGGTATTTCAAATATGAGCAAACATCTTGTTAAAGGAGAATATTTAAGGATTCATTTTGCTCCCTGACGTCTTTTTTAATAGTCAACAAACAATAAGTACGGTGGTATTTGTATTCTCTGCACCTTCCAATTAGTTGTTTAACTGTGAAAACACAGTCTTACTCAGGTAAAAGGTCAGAAGAGAGGGCCAGTCTCTCCTAATGACTCTGTCATCCTCTATCGTTACTGTGATTCTGCAGGTCAGAAGTATAATACCTCCCTTGGAGAACCCTCAACTATCTCGGGAACAGGAGTCAGAACCTTCCTAGGTAATATAAAATATGCTTGAGAGGCAACACGGCATAGGATAAAGCAGAAGTCCTGGATCAGCTATTTATTGTTTAACCTTAGGTAAATGACTGAGCCTGAGTTTGCCTGGCTATAAAATGTAAGGAATATTACTTACACTACCTACCTCAGAGGGGAGAAAATGAGAGAATGTTTAAGAAGCACTTTATAAACATGATGTGCTATATAAATCCAAGTTATATTTAATCACGTCCCTCATTAATGAATTTGTTACTAATATATTGTCCTCTGACTTGGATAGACATTACCCAGTAATGCAAGTTTTGTCACATAATTTGCTTAAAAAAACAAACTTGTAACTTGACGTTAGCCCCCTAACAGGGAACAAGTAAATATAAGCAAATTCAGTAATCTGGGCAAAAAAAAGGAGATTTTAGTGTTATTTTGAAAGCTTTTTTATGCTTCATTTGGATGTGTCTAAAAAGTTACATTTTTGAAAAAAATTCTGTGAAAAATTTTGTGAAAAACCTTTGAAAGTGAATAGTCATATTTAGTTAATGTCAAAAACAAAGAGGAGTTTGTAGAAAGGAGGAGAGACCCTTGTTAATCATACGCAAATTTCTGGATACCAGATAGAAAGGAGAAAGCTTAGGGTTGGATAGTGAAGCTGAATAGCAAAGCCCTGTGAATGGCTGGCCCAATGAGTGTTAAAGAAACCACAAAGGGGCAGCTAGGTGGCACGGTGGATAGAGCACCAACCCTGAAGTTAGGAGAACCTGAGTTCAAATCCGGCCTCAAATCAAAACACATGACACTTACTAGCTGTGTGACCCTGGGCAAGTCACTTAACCCCAATTGCCAAAAAAAAAATAAGTAAATAAAAATGCTAGCTACCCCTAGAGAGAGAACTGATGAACTCTGAGGGCAGATTAAAGCACACTTTTGGGGGCAGCTAGGCAGCACAGTGGATAGAGCACCGGCCCTGAGTTCAAATACTGCCTCAGACCAAACACCTGACATGTACTAGCTGTGTGACCCTGGGCAAGTCACTTAACCCCAATTGCCTAAAAACAAAACAAAACAAAAAACCAAGAAACCACGAGCACTGTGTTGGAATAATGTGGAGAGAGCTTCGACTCTGTCAATTCTACCTCTGATGCTTCTCTGCAAGATGAGAATACTGGACTTGTACCTTCTGACAAAACTTTCAACTCTATCGCCATGATCTTGTACTACATTTTTTCCTCTTTTTGAGGAGTCACAAAGAACAAGGGGAAAACAAAGGAGCAAAAAAAGCACGTTTCTGCTAAATATTTGTAAATATAAAGGAGTATGGTATCTTCTTCTGCCGTGATCAGGATAAATTTTTTAAAATAATGAAAAAGAAAAGTTACCAGAGTTTTGATAAAGGCTAGAATTATGTCAGGGTCTTGAACCCTTGAAGAAGTCAAAAAAAGCATAGTATGAGTTAGAAAAGTTTTGACAAAGAACCATGGTCAGAGTAACTGAATTGATAATAGTTGAAAATTACTAGATTAGAGTTCATTTGTACCTATCTATTTGTACATCTTTAAACTTGCTCTAACTGGTATTTTACAAAATAATGATTAATAGTTATGCTCAGTTACTTTAATAAAAAAATTATTTTTGTATTAAAAAATTGGGAAGTATGTACTTTGACTCAGTTACCTGCCTAGGAAGCCTAAATGTCTGAGCACCAGGGCTTAACCAAAATGTTTACTGTTTACCTGGTGGCTGTGTATCAAACTCTCAAGAGTTGGATTTGCAGTCAAAACCTAAAAAGTGACTGACAAAAGCCACATAAAATCCCAATGACATTTATACTTTTTACAATAACTTATAATCATTAATGTAAACAGAGGATTTCTCTAATTTATACAAGACCTTATTCTGTCAGGTAAGGGATAACATGCTTGAATTTTACTGTGTGACTAATTCACCCTTTGCCTTATTCAGTAGAGGATCATTCCCAGTGAATAATATCCCAAGAGGACAGTTCTCAATAATGCAAAAGCAATTTCTTAAGCCAACAAATGACTAGTCTTTACAACATGACTATAGATAATACTGAGATTAATGGATATCTACCTAAATAGGTCTTGGCTGTAACAAATATCCAAATCCAAATCCACAGACCTACATCTAATTTCTATGAAATATCTCTACCCCTAACTGTAAGCTCATCCTGAAAATGCAAAGGCAGCACCATTTCTTCCCTCCTGCTTGTAGCTTCACTTTTACACAGTGCATTGTCATAAATCTTCCTGTGGCTAGATTTAATGCTGTAATTGTACCCAATAATTACAAGCATGTCCCGGCCTAGCTTTTGATGCCATCCAATGAAGCCCTTTTCCTTTAAAAAACAAAACAAAAATCCTCATAAAAGAACATAAAGCGAGGAAGCTGAGGGTCCAATCCCCATTCTTGTCACTTAGTAACTGCATTAACTTGGGCAGATTATTTACTCTTTGTGAGCTGCAGTTTCTTCATGTGTAAACTCAAGGTATTTCCGCCTACCCTAACCTTACAAGAGTATGCAAAAGAAAATGAGATTATTTTGGTAAAAATGCTCTGAAACTAATAAAACCAATGCAAATGAGAGGAAAGTGCCCAATGTGTGGGTATCTGGATTCAGAAGACTAAGTGTCCTGTCCTGGCACTGCCACTTAGTACCTGTATAATCAGTACAAATTATTTCACTTCTTTCAGTCTTAGCCATGAGGAAAAGCAAGAAGGCATGTTTTGGGCTAGAATTCAGAGTGAAGGAAGGGGTATATATATGGCTGGAAAGGTAGACTGGGACAGGTTTATAAATGGCTTTTTTTTAATTAACAAAAATCTACTTTCTCTCCTATCCCACCCCCCCCAAAAAGGAAAAAAAAAACCTCTGTTACAAACAGCTTGTATCAAGTAAAACAAATTCTCACATTGGAGTCATCCAAAAAAATGTCTCAATATGCTTCTCACTGCAGTATTAAAGCTATTTTCCAATTTAAACTTATCCTTCATTTTTGTTACTATTCTTCTATCTGATAGATTTTCAAATAAACTGATAGCAACAATGGTCAGTTATTCAATAGAGTTTCTCTGAAAGTACAGCCATCGTGCCAGTGTTAGAAAAGACAAAAAGCAAGTCTGAAGAGATTCTTTCTTTACAAAGGATATCTAAGCATTGTTAAAAATAAGGCAACATATGTGAAGTTTAAGTACATTTAACATTTAATATGGCATTTGTCATTAGCTAGTAGAAACGTAAATATAAATATTTTATATTGTCACTAGCTATTCATTCTTGTTGATGACTAGATGACTAAAAATAAAATTAATTTCCATTTCTCACCAAGAAAGCTAATAAAAGTCTACCATTTTCCACTACATATGTGAGCATACACTTTTACTTTATTCTTATTTTAAATCAAAATATAAAAACAAACTCAACACAGAAACAGATGTAAGACTGTCTGGTGCTTAGCTAAATATTGCAAAATGAAAGTCCAACACAGAAATTGCATTTATAGGATTATCATATTATCTAAAATACTTTCCAAGTTGTAACTGATTGAATTTAAAACATTATTTACACTCAACAAAATCTATAAAATAAGTGTAATATGAAATCTTGCAAGTCTTGCTGCATGAGGTCTTGCTGGATTGGTGTTCAGTTGTTTCAGTCGTGCCCACCTCTTTGTGACCCCCTTGAGGGTTTTCTTGGCAAAGAGAGTGGAGTGATTTGCCATTTCCCTTTCCAGCTCATTTTGCAGATGAGAAAACAGAGGCAAATAGGATTAAGTGACATAGTAAGTCTCTGAGGGCAAATTTGAACTCGGGCCTTCCTGACACCAGGCCTGGTGTTCTATCCACTGTACCACCTAATCCAGTCCTGTGGCTGGATTACTTTCCAAAATTCTTACAGAATGTTCCACATAAAATATTCATAATAATTTTACAATTAATTTTATATGTAAGAGTTTTTATAATCATAGGTAGAATAAAATTTTATATTAATTATATAATGGGGGAAAAAATGAACCCTACTTAGTGTAAGCACCTAACATAAACCTAAAAAAATATTATGAGTAGTATAATAAATGACCTTGGGGATTCATAACACATTTTTGTTGCTGCTGAAAGGGGTTTGCAGGAAAAAAATATTGGGAACCACTGCTCTATACCATGTTCTGAAACATGCACTTATATAATTCAGCCAAATGATTTTTTTTTCCCCTCATGTGAATAACTGGCCCAATCTCATCCGACTGACTTCAGCTTTCATTGAGACTACGTACCATTCTGGGGCTTAAGGAAATCACCACAATATTATCTACAAACAGGAGCACCTGAAAAACCTCAGCATCTATAAGGAATATTTCTTCTACTTGGTCTTTGGGCAATCCATCCTCAATGACACTTTAAAAAACTGATGAATTTTGTGCTACTTTTAGGGCAAACATCGGTAGCGACAGCCTAAGCTCTTCATGATTATCTGCCATGAAACTTCCTTTCAGCTGTGGTTATGCTTGCTCTCCAAATAGTCCCACCAGAAACACCCACCCAAATTCCCAAATGGCCTTCATCAAAACCCCACATTTTTAATATTTTAAAAATAAATGACATATGAAGAAAGATGCATCCAGAGAAACAACTGATAAACAGAAATATGTGTAGAATAATTTTACATACACACTTATTTACGTCTAATAGTAGCCATCTCTAGGGCTTGGGGGAAGGAAGAGAAAAAAAGGGAAAAATGATAATTTTGTTGCATATTTGGAGGGAACAGCAAGTGGTACATGGTAGATTTGCAGTTTCATGTGCAGTCATCTTTTCTACTGTACTGTGTTATGGAAATGCTTGTTTTGTTCTGTGAACTGAGGATAAAGTAAATTTAAAAAAAAGTAAATGTAAAATCAAAAAGAAACCCAACGACACACAGATGATCCAAAGACTCTGAGGAAGATAGTGTTAGATGGCACGGTTTTTCTTAGTGGGTTTTAGACTAGTTCTTCACTAACTAATTAACAACACAGAGAATCAGGATAAACTTTCATTCATCTCTAATGTCCAGCAACGGAGCCACTACAACAACATTCTACTATACCACAACAATCTGACTCCTAATGAAGAACTCATTTTCAACTGATATTATCAATCAATCATTCAGTCAACAAGCACTGTATTTATTAAGCATCTACTACATAGAAGGCACTGTGTGCTGGGGATACAAATACAAAAAGCAATTCCTACTCTCCAGGGCCTGATTTGAGACTGCAAAGCTTTGTTCTCACGTTAGCCATTTCAATAGATAACTCCTCCCACCCAAGCTCCAACAAGAGCCTCCGTCATAACAAACAACTGTTAAGGGATAGCAACTCAGTGTCATTTGACAGTTTATGCCACATTTTTCTCATAGTCTCCTACCTCTCTACCTAATGTTTAATAATCTCTAACACTTTTCTATAAAATTTTTACTAGCCACAAGTTTATGATGCCAGTTTCTATTTTCTGCTTTGTGGCTTGTTTGCATTTTTTTAACGTGTAACTTTTTGTTCACATTCCTGTTTTCACTAGAAAAACCAGTATATTATTTCTGGTTCATCTCCCTTCTAATACTGATTCTACTTTTGGTGAATCTGTTTGCAAAACTAGGCTTGCTTATCTCATAACCTTTTGGATTTAAACAAAAGCTGATTCTCAGGTACAGAAGAACTAAAATACTTCTTCCCCAGAGTCCTTTTCTTCAGTTTTTTAAAAATATATTTTTAATTATTTCATTATTTCCCAATTTCAGTTAAAAATTTTAACATTCATTTTTTAAATTCTGAGTTTCAAATTCTTTCCCTCCCATCTCTCTCCCACCCCTTGAGAAGGCAAGCAATCTGACACCAATTATACATATGAAGTCATGCAATGTATTTCCATGTTAGCCATATTACAAGAGAAAACACACACACAAATAAAACTGAGAAAAATAAAGAAAAAAATATGCTTCAATCTACAGAGTTCATCAAGATACTAAAATATTTCTAAGAGCAACCATCATTAGAACTAACTTGTAATAATAACAAATACAAACATTATAAATGCCAATAGAATTAAGATAGAATCTGTCTTACGAATTTAGTGTCTAGAAGCAGAGACTAGACTCCATACCTTTATCTTCTTGTCCATGACAACTGTTCAATTCAGCAAGAAGTTGATTAAATTCCGCTTGGGGAGCCAGCCAGTTGTCCTGTAAACATGATACAATGTGTAAGGAATGATCCTGCTCAACAGGCATCTCACAGTACTATCAATGTAAAACATAACACTAAATACTAATGACGATGATGACAAGAACTAACACTTAGTGCTTGATAGTACATAAAGTATTTACATATATTACCTGATCTGATTCTCATTAGAAGCCTTTGAGGAAAGTAGTGCAAGAATTATCCTCATTTTGCTTATTAGGAAATAAAAGTACTAACTTGTTTGTGGTCACAAACACTCAAAAATTACTTACCTATACTAATTTGGGGGAGTGAGTCTCTCTTCTTTTAAACAGAAAGATGTTCCTAGATGACTCAAGACTCTAACTACAATAATCTCAGTTTTTCTACTCTGGCTCAATCACATTGTCTTAAGTGATATATGTAACCAATGTAAGGAATTTAGCCATCTCCAGAAACTTTCATAAAAACTTCCCACCAGATGTCACTGACTGACAAATTTAAGGTGGAAGACTAACTGGTGTAGGGCAATGGAAACAGCAACAAATGTGGAGGCATGAGACTTGGGTTCAACTCTGTGTCCACTACCTACCAGGTGAGGGGCCCCTTGGACAAGCAACCTCGCACCTTTCTAAGCCTCAGTTTCTTCATCTGCAAAATGAAATGACTGAATTAGGGCCCTTTCTGCTCTATATCTATGATCCTATTATGAGATTCGGTAACCTCCCCAAACATAAGCACAGCAATAAAAAGTCTCATCCTGTTTTCCAGCAGTTAACTAGTTTACAGTTTCTATCTTATAACTCTATAAGATCTCCTCTTCAAAAACTTCCTCAGACACAGAAGCCATGTTTCCAAAGTGTTCAAAGAAGTGATATATTGGCCAGTTCACCAAATACCCAGGACCAGCACCAATTTGAGTAAGATCAATGGACAGCCACACTGACCTCACAGTGTTCTGACAATGAAAAAGGCCAATTTCCAGTGATCTGGGCAGAAGGGTAGAAATACAGGCAACAGTAAATAGAATAATTTGCTATTAATAAAAGGCAACTTATATATAGTGCTTCGAGCTTTGCAAAGCACTGTACATGCATCATCTCAATTAAAATTCACAACAACCCTTGCGAAGTAGGTGCTAAGAGGTATTACTATCATCCTTGTTTTACAGATGAAAAAATGGAAACTCACTGATGTGAGTGACTTGCCCATGGTCACATAGCTAGTAAGTTTTACAGAGAGAAGATCTGAATCCAGTCCTTCCTGACAATAACTCCAATACTCTATCCTCTATGCCACAATAACTCTTGCCTTGAAAAGAACTTCTTCTCTAGAAAAAAACCCCAATTCCATTTTTCTTATTAAGATTCTGATTTAATATTAAATTTTGTTGTTGTTGTTGTTTCAATCATGATCAACTCTCTGGGACCCCACTTTGGGATTTTCTTAGCAAAGATACCGAAGTGGCTTGCCCTTGTTTTCTCCAGCTCATTTTACAGATGAGGAACTGAGAAAAACAGAGTTAAGTGACTTGCCCAGGGTCACACAGTTAGCAACTGAGGCGGATTTGAACTCATGGAGATGAGTCTTCCTGATTCTAAGCCCAGTGCTCCATCCACTGTGCCACCTAGCACCCATATTTCAAATTTAGTTTGATATTAAAATTGGTTTCCGTTGCTCTAGTATGTATCAAATAGGGTTATGGGTCAGTAGAGGAAGAATATGCAGAATGTCTTAGGTGGCACATAACTAGGATTCAAAATGAATTGCAGTAAATGCACAAACTGGACAGAAGACAACACTGTGATTATCAATGACCTCTAAGCAATCGAATGAAACGCTTTACACCAGGAATACTGCTCACCTCATGATTGGCTGAGGCTCCCAACCCAAGCTGGTTGTTTTTAACTTGAACTTTAATATGTTCTGTGGCTCCTTGCTCCTGAGCCCCTAGACCCTACAGAGACAGAAAATAAAGAGGGTTTACACCGTGCACAAATATCAATTAATAATCATAACTGAAGATGTTCTGAATGACTGACAACTCACAAAACAACAGTCCAGCCTGAGAACATCCTGTATAAACTTAAGAAATTCTGCTTTTTTTTTTTTAAACTAGAACCATGATTTCACTGGTAAAGCAAACTCCTGGTAAAGAAAACTCCCTGTTCAATAAGGATCAGTAACTTCTAGGCACCCAAGAGTCCTAGAGTTGCTCGGTGTCCTGGGTGGGTGAGTACTTTGCCAAGGGCCACACAGCCAGCATGTGGGAGGCAGAACTTGACTCATCCTGACCAAGGATAGCTAGCTCTCTATCCATAACAGGCTTGCCACATAATGAGAACAACAATGATAAATGAGAGCAGCTGACATGTACATAGCACTTTAAAGTCTGCAAAGATTTTGCATACATCACCTCATTTAAGCCTTACACCAATTCTGTGAGGTAGGTCCTACATGTATTATCTCTACTATACAGACAAGGAAACAGAAGCTCAGAGGCTAAGGGGCCTGCTAATGGTCACATAGCTAGTAAATGTTAGAGGCACAATTTTAACTCAGATGTTTCTGACTCCAAGTCCAGCACTCTTTCCACTACACCCTGCTGTCTTTCACAGAATAACTCTTTCTAATGCCCTAAATAAAACAAATAATGCCATATACTTATTTTGATACATTTTCTGGGAAGACCCAAAAAAGATGAGTGAAACCAGGTATATATAACATTAATAGTGCAAGTATCTGTTCTGTCTTTAAGTTCATTTAAGTTCTGGTATGTAATTAAGGACCACACTAAGTTTTGAGAAGAGGTTTACACAGTCCATTCTTATACTAAGAAGGGAATTATATGCACACATTTAACTGGATTTAGGATAAGTTACTATTCCCAAAAGGCACAGATGCTTTCATTCAAGGGACTTAACCCCATGAGCTAAGCAAAAGATTTTTTGAAATTAAATTTTACTTTTTTCAATCTCTCTCTCATACTCACTCTCTCTGATAACTTTGCCTCAAATAAGAAAAGAGAAACAAAACCCATTACAAACACATGTACAGTCAAGCAAAACAAAATTCCACATTGGCCATGTCCTTCCTATCTATCTATATGTACACGTGTATATGTATGCTTCTACATGTGCACATATGCATATGTATACACATGCATATTATATATATCCATGTATAATCTTCATTTTGCATTGAGTCGTTTGCCTCTCAGAAGGTGGGTAGCATGTTTCATCATTAGTATCCTGGAATAATTAGCTGGCCATGGTTGGTCATTATGCTGATCAGAGTTCTTAAGTTTTTAAAATTTGTCTTGACAACACTGCTGTAATCATATAAATTGTTCTCCTTGTTCTAATTACTTCACTCCACATCGTTTCATACAAGTCTTCCCAGTTTCCCTGGGACCCACAGTAGTAATCAATCACATTCCTGTTCCCCACCCAGTGTGTGCCTCTTCCTCTCCCTTTTCATTCTTCTTTTAAAGATCATAACAGAACTACTCCTAGGCCTTCTGTCTAATTAGACTCCCTCTATGACTCCTGATGATGATATGGTTCAGAAGGGATACAGGTACTATCTCCCCAGAGTAGAATAGAAGCAGTTTATATTTGTTTATTCCCTTTCTTAATTAGTGTTTGCTCTTCAAAGTTTCTATGCAACTCTGGTGTTTTCATCACGAATACTTCAAAGTCCTCTATTTCATTAAAGATCCATTTCCCCCCATAAGATTACAGATTATATTCAGCTTTGCTGAGTCATTCTTTTTCTTCTTTCTAGGCAATTGGGGTTAAGTGACTTGCCCAGGGTCACACAGGCAGTAAGTGTCAAGGTGTCAAGTGTCTGGTCTGAGGCCGGATTTCCACTCAGGTCCTCTTGACTCCAGGGCCAGTGCTCTATCCACTGAGCCACCTAGCTGCCCCTGAGTAAGTCATTGTTGGGTGGGTGGGTGGCTGGGTATATGCCTGTGTTCTGGATACCATATTCCAAGCTCTCTGCTTCTTTACAGTGGAGGTTATTAAATCCCATGTGATCCTGACTGCGATACCTCAGTACCTGAATTGTTTCTTTCTGGTTGCTTGCACTATTTTTTTCTTTGACCTGGAAGCTCTAGATTTTATCTATATTGCCCCTGGGAGTTTTCTTTTTTTCCAAGATTCTCATGAGCTAGTTTGTTAAGTGATTGGTCCAAAATCAGTTCTTAACCTATGACTAAGAACACAAATATATCCCCATCTATAAGTCAAATTATGAAAACATTCTTCTATTCAGTAAACATTTATTAAAAGCTTATGTTCAAGGCACTGTGCCAGTCATTAGGGACGGAGGCAGAAAGACAAAAATGAAATAGCCCTTACCTTTAAAGAGCTTACATTCTACTGGGAGGACAAAACATTCACATGGATAAGTAATTACAAATTTTGGCAAGAGAGCGCTAGCCACTAAGAAGATAAGGATGGGTCTTGTATAGGAGATGGCCCCTAAATGAAACTCTGAAGCCAGGGATTACAAGAAGCGGAGGTAAGTAGAGAGGGTGCTGAAACCAAGGGGATAAGCCTGCGCAAAGGTATGGAAAGAAGAGCTGGAATGTAATGTATAGGGAATGACCAAGAGACCAGTTTGGCTATAATACAGAGTATACTGTCGGGGGGGGGGAGTGGGATAGAGGGGGGAATAGTGTGAACAAGGTCTCAAAACAAAGGTCGGAAATAGACTGTGAAGGGTTTGAAATGCTGAGCTGAAGAATTTGTATTACACTGTTTTCTAAAGGTAATAAGAAGTCACTGAAAATTCTTGAGTAGGGAAGTCAAGTAATCAGCTCTGTTTTAGAAACATCAATTTGGCAACTACATGGAGAATTCTGGAAATGTGAAAAACCACACTTTCATAGCTGAAGGCCCCTTTTATTTTTTTCCTAAAATACCTTTCCCTTGGACCACCCCATCTTCTCCAGCATCTTTTGGCCAAACTTGGAATCATCATTACTCCACGCAGTATTCCTTGGATCCACAGACCACTTCTGCTTCCGCCGAGCTAGGAGCAAAATGGAAAGTGCCTCTTTAGCAACTTAATCTCTAGACAAAGAAATGCTAAGTGAGACATGTAAATATATACAGCATAAAGTTTTAAACTATAATATAAATCTCTCTGACACAGGTAGATATGTCAACACCACTGGACTGTCAAAAGAACTGGATTTTAGTGTCAGTTTCATAAACAGTCACAGCCAAACAAACTGCCAACAAACTGGGGAGATGAGGCATATACACATATATGCCTCTCAGCACTTACAGTTCAGCAGCCACTCTTATGATAGCTGCTAAGACTATTGGTGAGAGGAGGGATAAATCACTAGGTGAACCTAGGTCAAAACTTGAATTCTTTAAAAAGAAAAAGGTCATCAAGTTACAGGGTCATAGACCTGTAAACAAAAAAGGCCTTAGAGATCATCTAGGTCAACCCTCTCCCTTACATGCCAATTTTCAGTGTTAAGGTTTGCACTGGGTTTTTTGTTTTTGCTTTTAAATTAGTTTCAGGGATACAGATATGACTGGACAACAGCTCTTGTGAAGTAAGATTTGGGACTACAAGTTCAACAGGAATCAACAGAATGACAATGGAGCTAAAACTCTAACAAGCCATCTCTATGCTGCACTAGGTCTAGAGAGCAGAGTTCAGAGTAAAGTCACTACCAGCTCTGCTCTGCGCAGGCTGTTGTCTGGAAAACTCTACTCTGAGCACTATACTTTACAACACAAGGTGGAGAATGTTCAGAAAAGGATTTTTAAAAAGACTGTGAAAGGACTGGAGAAGATTCTATACAAGAACCACTTGAAGGTATTGGGGAAGTTTACCTTGGAAACAAGAAGGCTTACAAAGGACATGACAGCTCTCTGAATATTTGAAGGGCAGAGATATAGAATGATGAGAGTTGCTATAGCCTGACCCCAGAAAGCAGAATTAGGATCTTTGGGTAAAAGATACAGACAGGTAGACAAGATACTTAATGGAAATCTCCCTAACAGTTAGAGCTCTCTACAAGTTGAATGGGTGTATACAGAGCACTGGCCCTGCAGTCAGGAGGACCTGAGTTCAAATCTAACCTCAGACACGTGATACTTATAGCTGTGTGACCCTAGGCAAGTCACTTAATCCCAACTGCCTCACCGCCCCCCAAAAAAAGAAAAAAAAAGTTGAAGGGTCTGCCTCAGGAAGCAATGGGTTTCCTCACATCAAAAGAAACTGGATGACTACTTGTTGGGAAGGTAGTAGAAGAGATTCTTGGACAGGATGGCCTCTGAAGTCTCATCTAGGTTTATGGCTATGATCTTACAGAACAGTCGTAAACATGAAATATTACACAGAAACTTTTTAAAGTTCCTCAGAAGACAGGCACATAAAAGCACATGGCATTACAATGTAAAAGGGCCTACGTGATATTTATGTTCTTTTAAAAAGATGCATAAATGTTACCTTTAGAAATTCGCTAATAATACCTATAATATCTCTGCAATGTTTAGTAACTTAGTAGAGAGTTAGGACAGCATTTTTAGCATTGCAGATTTTAGGAAACTCAATATGACTTTTGAAGAGCCACAGTAATTAAAAAAAAATCAAGGGAATAAACAACATTAAGTTTGTGCTTTGTGTGTGTGTGTGCTGTGGTAATTATCCATCACTTATTTTGATGTCTAAATATACTGCTAGTCAGTCTGATTATGATACCTCAGTAACTAGTACTATAATTCCTGGTACTCGCTATCTGAGAGCTATCATTGGTGAAAAGATGTATAGTAGTATCCTCATTATTAGGAATTATTAGGGAATAAGTTATTTTGCAACTTTTTCCCAGATTGCTGAAGGCTTACCATTTTAAATATCAAACTGTTTTTATATTGCTTTGGATAGAAATTTTTTCTAAAATGTGCTGCATACTTCTCTTCTTCATCAGAGATACTGAACATAATTAAACATTGTCTTGAAGGTTGTAGGTCATCATTTTGAGCATAAATTACTATGAGGTTCTATTTTACAGTGATAAAGTTGTCAGGGGGAGGGGGACAGAGTCAATGAGCTTTTGCTTCAATACCAAATGATTCCAAGTTGCAATGTTCATGGAGTTCCTCTCTCTATGCTTTATTATTAGCTTTCTCCCTTGATGTCAGACGTGACTTCCTGCTGCTGTCAATATATCTCTCTCCCCATCCTAATTTGGTTTTTCTAACCTGTTGTAAGCCTGGAAATCAAATAACTAAATTTGTTAAAACTAGGTGTAAAATAACAGTAGGTTCTGAATAAGGGTTTGAGTTACTCCCCTATGAATAAAGAACATAAGCTTTCAATGCATAAACTTTTAAAACATCAATTACAGCCCTTCAGAAGGCTTTTTTTTTTGCATACTTCCCATTTCTTGCCTGTGTTTTGAACAGGAAAGGTTGCCAAATGGCTGCTGCAGATGGGTGAGATGCTACACATCCACCAAAAATGGGACTAAAAAAAAATACTAAATGTTAGAAAAATCTAGATTTATTTTTGCTAATTGTAAAGCACCAAACTATACTAAGGCTGGAACTTTTTTTTTTAAATTTCTAAGAACAAAGTATCAAGTAAAAGGTATATGCAAGGGTGAACACTGGGACTGAACTGGGGAATTTCAGGACACCTGACCATTCTAGCTTCACAGCAGCTGGGTGAAGCTAGAAATAGCTGTCACTGTCTATGTTTCAGTTTCTTCAGGCATAAAGCAATGTTAATGCTGGCCCTGCCTGGCACATAAGGATGTCTCAATCACAAAACAACTAGAATACAAGAACCCTTGAAACATAAAAGCATAACATGGCATACTCTAATGACAATCTTGGATTTAGAGTCAGGAAAATGGGGTTCAGATTCTTCCTCTGAAACTAGTTGTGTAACCATGAACAAATCTCTGGGCCTTGGTTTCCAAATCTGTAAAATGAAGATGCTAATGATACTCGTGGTACCTGAGGCACTGCCACTGTTGTGAAAATGAGGTACTGTGGATAAAGCCCTTTACAAATCTTCAAGTGCTATATAAACATCTACAGTGACTGTAATTATGTAATATAAATATGAAATTATGTAATATAAATATACAATCTTTCCAAGTCAATCCATTTGGCAGGAGGTCCTCTATTCTAGCTAACTAAGCATGGAGTACAGCAGGGCAAAAATACTTCCACCCAGAACTATCTATTTATACACAACCCAAGGCAAGTGGAACTAGCACCAGGCAAAGCTGTCAAACTGGTGAGTAGCCTTTGACTCCTTCTCCCTTCCATGTGCCTCGGAGGCAGAAGGGCCGGTGGGCCAGTACCTTCAGAGATGGGAGAAGCCAGAGGTGCAGCAGGTCAGGTATGGGAGAAAAAACAACCAACACTCTCCCGTCTTTGGAGACTTCAAAGGAAGAAGGGAAAGGATGAAGGATTAGTAACAATTTAGGTTTAGTGACAAAGAAACAAGTTCTCCACCTGGTGTTTTTCCTTAAAAATTTGTTCTACACATTTATCACATTAAAATAGCCTTGTTAAATGTTACCTAGTCTCCCTCGTCCTCTAACCTATCATTCCTTATTTTCTAAGTTCAGAACTTGGAATTATTTTCTGAGTTTTCTAGATCTCTACCCCATCCCAGCATCTTTCTGTGGATGGGACAGAAGACTTTTTACAGCAAATGGTTGTCTTTGTTCATCCTTGTTTTGTAAAGTAAAACTCAGAGTCATAAAAATGACACATAGATACATATACATGTACACACACACAGACACACACACATATATACACACACATACAAACTACTACAAGGCCTAATACACTGGCAACAGTCAAATATGAGTTGAATGTTCTTAAACTCAGAAATTGAACTTGAAACTAAAATGTGATATTTGCAGCTGTTTTACAAGTTCAAACTGGTAATTTCAGCATTATATTCCTCCACACAGTGCCTAGCACAAAGTAGGCGTTTAATAAATGTTTGTTGATTGATCCTGTGTCAAGTGGCATTGTCATAACAAAGGCACCACTGCCACCTGGTGACAGTTGTCCTCAACTGCCAGTTCCTGACTATTCTTTCTCAGGCCTGAGTACCTCCCCCACTCGCTCACTTTTCAGCTCCCTTTTATGAGCTTTCTTCCCCCATTAGAACGTAAGCTCCTTGAGGGCAAGGTGTGTCTTTTTCTTTAAATTCTCAGCCCTAGCACAGTGTCTGGCACATAGTAGGCACTTAAATGTTTGGTGATTTACAATTTTTTTTAAATTTTCGGTATTAAGACACTTTATTGTATCCTATTTAACACCACTGAGGGGACTAGCACCTCTGGTGTAGGAGCTTGCTGAACCCTTTCCAGGGCTGCTCATCCCCCTTTGGTGTCCACCTCCATCCAACGCTCACCTGGGGCTACCAGAAGCTGTAATAAGTGAAGCAGCCACACCCCAGTCACATTGTCTCAGCAGTCAGGCTAAACCAAGTTGAGGGTAACTGACAGGCACAAACCCACAGTGAGTTAGAAGGATGTTTACCCAAGCATATGAAGACCTCCCCCGGCTGAATGGGCAGATGAGAACAATTTGTTTCAACAGCCACGAAGGCAGCTGAAGCAGGTGCGATGGAGCGCTTGGGGCTTGGTCAGGCATCAACAAGGCCAAGGTCATCCATTGCATCCTGGGCTATCAACCAATCATCTTGACTTCTGTCCTGCTATTACTGGACTTCAATGACTCAGGAAGAGAAAGTGAGGCTGATGGCTGTGCACCTCTGCCTCACTTAAATCCAGTTCATTCTCAAGTCAAGACTTCACCCTGTGATCTCATTGGTCTTCTTCTAAAACAAAGGAGAAACAACACTTTAACACCACAAAGGCAGGCTTGGGCAGTGGTACAGAACAAGCCTTGGGGAAACCCTGAGCTCAATTCCTGTCTCTACAACATCCTGGCAGATGACCCTGGGCAAGCCATTCATCCCCCCAGTGCTCCCATGCAACTGTTTTAAGATGTGCATGTGGAGGGGAAGGTTCTCACTGGGACCACTCTACACCAATGAAATCACAGGTTCAATTAAAAAAAAAGTCAATTAAACATTCATTAAATCCTCAGGGCTGCCATGCTAGGGACTGGGGACAGCATTAGGGCTCTGGATCATATGTCACACTGTTGATTCATACTGAACTTGTAGATATCCCATGATGCACAAGGAGAGGCAGCATTCAGAATGTAGGAGTTAACAGTTCTGTTCTGCTATAGTCAGGATACATCTGGAATACTGGGGGTATATCCCTCCTTCTCAAATCAACAAATCCTGCCCTCAATGAGTTTTCATTTGACTGGTAGATTCAACACGTACACATGTCAGTATCAAGTAATGCCAAGTAATTTCAAGGTGGAAGAGAGGGCTGACAATTGGGAGAGGAGATCAGAAAAGGCATCAATCATTAGAAAGTGGAACTTGAGAAATGATAAACCATACATGACATAAATATACAGTAAGGTTTTATTCCCCAGAGCAATTCACATTTGTATAGTACTTTACAGTTTACAAAGAATTTTTCTCTCAATCACCTTGTAGAGTAGATAGTACTGGTTCCGTCACCTCACTTTACAAAGTAGGAAACGTGCTCAGAGCATAAGTGAGTTGCCCACAGTCAAGTAGCTGGTATGCACCTGAACCCTTGTCTCACATGAAGAGGTGGCCCTTTTCCTTGACAGGGCTAATGCATCTACATACACAAGTGAATCCATTCCATTCCACTTTTTCCAGCAGATTGCCTTCTCTACCGCCGGCCATCTCCATTTGTCCTGATCTATATCTGGCAACTGGACCCAGATGACTCTAGAGGAGAAAGTGAGGCTAGTGACTTTGCACTGCCCTTTCTCACTTAAATCCAATTCACCTGCAAGTCACAGCATCATCTTCCTGATGTCATGGTCCTCCACACCTCTCTATCATCCCTTCTCTCTCACTTATCTTTTATCTATCCCAGTTTAAAGACTGCTCCCCTATTGCCTATAAACATGACCATATATCATCTATCCTCAAAAAACTCTCACTTGATTCACCTATTCCCTCTACTTATCATTCCACATCTCTCCTTTTTTGTGGCTAAATTCCTTGAGAAGGTTGTCTACAATAAGTGCCTCCATCCACTTCCTTTCCTCTCACTCTTTTCTTAACTTTCCACAGTCTGGCTTCAGACCTCATCATTCAACCAAAACTGCTCTCTCCAAAGTTACTAAAGATCTCTTAATTGCCAAATCTAATGGCCTTTTCTCAGTCCTCATCTTTCTTGACCTCTTGGCAGCCTTTGACACTGTTGATGATCATTGCCTTCTCCTTGACACTCTCTTCTCTCTAGGTTTTCATGACACTGCTTTCTCCCAGTTCTCCTCCTGCTTATCTGAGTGCTCCTCATCAGTCTCTTCTGCTAGATTTTCATACAGGTCATGTCTACTAACCATGGTGTTGTGTTGTTTCCCCCCCCCCCCCCCCCCGCATCATTTGCAGGGGGCCATTTTGTCTTTCCCCTCTAACCTATTTCACTTGGTGATTTCATGAGATCCCAAGAATTCAATTATTATCTCTATGTCTTAAATCTACTTTTTAAGCCCAAACCTCTTTGCTGACTCTAGTCTTGAATCTCCAACTGCCCTTCATTCATTTGGAACTGGATGTCCAATTGATATCTTAAACTCAATATTTCCAAAACTAAACTCATTATCTTTCCCTCCCTCTCCTGTTCCTAACACCATTTTCCTAGTCACTCAAGCTCACAACCTAGATGTCATCCTAAACTCACTGTCTCACCACTCCACTCCATAGCCAATTTGTTGCCAAGGCCTGTCGATTTCATCTTCATAATACCTCTCATATATGCCCCCTTTTCTCCTAACACTGCCTCCACTCTGGTATAAGCCCTCCTCACCTCACACCTGTAATATTGCAATATCCTGCTAGTTTGTCTCCTTGCCACAAGTTTCTCCCCACTCCTGTCCATCTTCCACTTAGCACCATTCAAACCATTTCATCTTCTTACTCCTTAAATTCCAATGGCTCCTTATCACCTCCAGGATAAAATATAAAAATCTTCTGTTTGGTGTTCAAAACCTTTCCTAACCTGCCCCTACCATTTCCAGTCTTCTTACATCTTGCAACCTTTCCCACCACTGCTCCCTCAAATACAATCTCTACAATCCAATAACACTGGCTTTTTTGCGGTTCCTTGAAGAAGACACTCCCATCTCCCAATTCTGGACATTATCACTGGCAGTCCCCCACGTGTGGAATGCTTTATCTCTCATTTTCATCTCCTCGCTTCCTTCAAGTACCAGCTGAACTCCCACCTTCTACAAAGCACCTTCCTAATTTCCCTTAATTCTAGTGCCTTCCCTCCAATGATCATCTCCAATTTATTCTGTCTATAGCTTGTTTGCACATAATTGTTTGTATGTTGTCTCCCCACATTATACTGTGAGCTGCTCAGGATCAGGGATTGTTTTTTTTTTTACCATTTTTTGAATCCTCAGTGTTTAGCATAGTGCCTCGCACATAGGAGGCGCTAAATAAATGATCACTGACTGAATGGTGTATGCCAGACCTGGGATTTAAACCCAGATCTTCTATCTCCAAATCCACAGCTTTTCCCACTATTACCAGGGTCATGATTATAGCTGCCATTAACACAGTGCTCCGAGGTTTGCAAAGCACTTTACTTCTATTCACAACGACACCGGGCGATAGGTGCTAATATTATTCCCATTTTACAGATGAGAGAACTAAGGCTGAGAGGGGTTAAGTGACTTGACCAGGTTCACCGGGCTGGTAAGAGTGAGGCAGGATTGAAGTCACGTCACCCTGACTCCAAGTCCAGAGCTCCATCCACTAGATGCCTCAGGCGTCATGCTGGGTAACTTTTTTTTTAAACTTTAAAACTGGCTGCACAGGAGAGCCCAGATGCCACGGGAGTAACAGAGACCACCACAAGGCATGGGAGGGTGACGTGACCACTGAAGGGCTGGGATACACAGGGGAGCCTTCCAAGGGCGCCCACGCGCGTACACCAAGACCTCCGCGCGATCACAAGCCTGCGTCCACTTAAACCCAGGGGCGCCCCGAACGGGGAAACTCACGTTGAGCCAGCATCGCCATTCTGGGGGAGCCCAAACGCCACAGGGGCCGGCCCTGGACCACCACGCCGGAAGACAGTCCGGCTAGCCGGTCTCCCGGAGCACGACTGCCTCAAACTACCAGGAACCACACGCGGGCTGCGAGGAAACGCCGCCAGTGGCGACGCGGCCCGATGACGACACAGGAACGCGACGACCTGACGCTGCAGTCGATGGAGATGGGGAAGGGGGCGGGGCCTGAAGGAAGGAGGAAGGCGGGGCCTGAGGGAAAGAGGAAGGCAGGGCCTGAGGAAGAAGGAAGGCGGAGCCTGAGGCAGGAGGAAGGCGGGGCCTGAGAGAAGGAGGAGAGCGCGGGAGGCGGTGGGGTGAGCCGCAGGATGCTCTTTACCTGAGACTTTGAGCTGGGAAACTTTAGAGATCATTGAGTACACTTCCCTCCCAACCCCCTCACTTTGCATTTGGGGAAACTGAGGTTAAGAGATTTGCCCAAGGTCATGCAACAACTAATAACAATAGCTTGTATTTATATAGTGCTAATTAAGTTTTTCAAAGAGCTTTATAAATATCTCATTCTAGGTGCTCACAACAGCCCAGTGAGGGAGGTGCTCTTATTGCCCGTCTTTATTATCATATGAGGAAACCGAGGCAGACTGTAATTAAGTGACTTGACCAGGGTCATGCTGCTGAGGCAAAGTTTGAACCCAGTTCCATCTAACCCCAAATCCAGTGCCTTATCGACTATGTACTAGGTCAGCAGTACTATTATTTATTGATTTAAAATTTTCAAAGTTCTTTATGTCTGTTAAAGATTCCCATTTGATAATGTACTTCACAATAACCCTAAAGTAGGTGCTATTTTTATTATGTTCATTTTACAGATGAAGAAACTGAGGCTTATGGAGCATAAGTGACTTACCACTCACTGCTAGGAAACATCTGAGGTAGGATTGGAACTCAGGTCTTCCTGATTCTGAGGGTGGTGCTCTATCTGGCTCTAGCTATCTGTTGAAAACCTGTGTCTTAAGAATATGCAGAGTTGTCTTTCGGAGAGGAGAGTGCCGATTGATGGAGGAGGAGTGGGGTCAGAGTCATAGGTTGATGTTTTTAAAACTTTGAACAACGTGATAGTAGCAAAACAATAATAACATTGTCCCCTAGTTAAAATTCCAAATCTGGCTAGCATGAGTTTTTAACATCTCAGCACTGTCATCAGAAGCTGGGACCCTGGTGATGTGGGATGAACCTAGCTGTTCTCAGGTTAAGAGGTGGCTGGACTCTGTACAGTAACCCTTTTGGGAAACTGTACCTTAGATTTAGCAGAAAGAAACTGATAGGGATACGGGGCAGGTGGCTCAAGGAGAAAGCCACCTATTGGACAACAACTGATATTTCACTCATTTGCTAGATAACTAGTTTTGTTAAGTCCTTCAATCTTGTCCGGCTCTTCGTGACTCTGTGCACTTGTCCGTGGGATTTTCTTGGCAAAGATACTGGAGTGGTTTGCCATTTCCTCTTCCAGTGTGTCCCCATTTTACAGCTGAGGAACTGAGGCAAATAATGGGTTAAGTGATTTGCTCAGGGTCACACAGCTAATGTCTGAGGCCATATTTGAAGTAAGGTCTTCCTGATTCCAAGCCCAGTGCTCTATCCACGGCACCATCTAGCTGCCTAGATAATCAATAGAGTACAAAATTGCTTTTCTCTAGGCTTAAGTATAGCAGCTCCTGAGAATATGTGGTTCACTGTCACTAATGCAGTACCTACAAGTGACTCATCGTTTATGTACAAACATGTTCAATGAAGTCCACAGGTTTCACACTAGCTGAAGTTTAGGTATCTACAGGAGACCTCTAAGTAACCTTTAATGACAATGAGGATGTCAAGCTCACCAGATGCTTTTGAACAGGCAGCCTTTCCACACCCATCAAGTCTTATCATGTGAGCCACTGTACTTTGCCAATTATGGATGGAACTAGCAACAGCTAGTTATTAGAGGAAAATGTATCAGGACAAATAGAGAGATAAGACAAATATTTCTAAAAAGTGCATATTCAATTCAATCCAAGAAATATTTTATAAAGCATCTGCTACTGTCTTACAATCCATCAGATTGTGAGCTCCTTGAGATCTGGTACTATATTTTGCCTCTCTTTGTATCCCCAGCACTTAGCACAGTGCCTAATAAGTGGAAGATACTAGATAAATGTTGATTGATTGATTAATACCAGGTAAACTACAATGGGCCATCAAAAATTCCTACAGGAGGGTATAACATGTACATAAACATAAGAGAAGTAAGAACGAGAAAAGTGAAATTTTTTTTTTTGGTCCAGACCTGTGTTTTTATCTATATAGGAAATTCTCTAGCCTAGTAAAGAAGTTGTCTCTACAGTAACTTATAGTCTTAGCTACTTGGGGACACTGAGAAGTTATGACTTGCCCATGGGGACATGACTAGTCTGTGCCAGGGACAGAATTTGAATCCATGTCTTCTTGACTCTAAGGCTTGCCCTAGAATTATTCTGCTTTGATGCCTCTCAAAGCAAGGCCATAGCCAAGGTCAATAGTACAGGCCTGAACTGTGGTGACAGCAGTGAAGCTGGAAAGGGAGGTACAGATGCAGGAGATAATACAGAGACTGAATAAACAAGATTTGGCAATTTGTTGCATGGAGGAGAATCAAAATAAAAGAGTCAAGGATGATGCTGAGGTTACAAGTTTATGTGACTAGGAGATTGGTGGTACAATCAACAGAAAACAGGAAGCTAGGAGGAAGAGCAGGGTTTTTTGGTAGGGTATAGAAGGGGAGATGACCTTAGTTTCAGGTATGTTGAATTTTGGGCATAGATAGAATATTCAGGTATAAATGTCCATCTGTTTGAAAATTTGAAACAAGTTTAGAGAAGAGATTGAGGGTCAAAATAGAGATTTGTGAGTCATCTATATAAAAGTGATAATTGTAATTATGAAACTGTATGATATTTTTAAGGTAGAGAATGTCGAGAGAAGAATGCTAGGGAGAGGAGGAGGAAGAAGATTCAGTGGAGACAGTTTTTGAAGAAATGAGAGATTAAGGATAAAGCAATGTCATAGAAACCAAAGCAGGAAAGGGTAGGAAACTATCAGATGCTACAGAAAGGATGAGGAAACTGAGTGAGGACTGAGAAAAAGTAATCAAATTTGGCAATTAGTTGTCCACTGGAAAAATTGGAGAGGGAAGTTTCAATAGAGCAATTGTTCTAGAAGCCAGTTTTCAGAGGCTTGAGAAATGAAGAGGTGATGATGAAATGGGAGAAGCCAGCATACTGTACCATTTCCAGTTTGACTAGAGGAGAAAAGACAATAAATAGCTTGATAAGGCATCAGGATCAGGGGTATTTGAAAAAGTCTCTCATGCCTTCCTTGAGGACAGGATGGTTAAGTAAATTCTAACTAGTCCAATAACTGGCTCTCCCCCAAAGTAGTATTAAATGGGAAGGTATTGTTGTTCATCCTTCATTCTCAAAGAGGACCAGTGGTGTCACAGAGGGGATGCCTTGACTCACAGGTGAATTGGATTTAAGTGAGGCAGAGCTGCACAAAGGCATCAGCCTCACTCTCTTCTTGAGTCATCTGAGTCCAGTGGCAAGACAAAAGTAAGAAAGACTGGCAGTGGCCCAGGATGCAGTGGGTGACCTTGGCCTTTTTAAATTAAGGTCTTTCCCAGATCTCAGTTTGTCTGAGGCAATGCCCATTCGTTGAGGCCTCTACAAAGAGAGAAGGACCTCCAGAGAGATGTATTTCTTACACATGTTCCTCACTACTATTATGGTCTAAGTTTAAGCTTACTCCTCTGAGGGCCGCTGCTACACAGATAACATGCTAAAAACAGTTAATACAAAATTTTCCCCTAAGAACCTAGTTCATTCCTTCCTCAGATATACACAGCATATGTGGGAGGAGCAAGCTTAAATTTAGACTATAATAGTAGTGAGGCATATGTGTAAGAAATATGTGCGCCAAAGCTTTATCTCACAACACCTGCTCTGGAAGTCCTTCTCTCTTTGTAGAGGCCTCATGCAGAACCCTTTGATGTTGTTCTTCTTCATCCTTTGTTCTCCAAGAGGACCAATGACATCAAATGGGTGGAGGTCTTGATTTGTATGTGAACTGGATTTAAATGAGGCAGAGCTGCACAAAGTCATCAGCCTCACTCCTCCAGAGTCACTGGAGTTCAGGATGCAATGGGTGACCTTGACCTCATGGGGACATCTTAGTTGTTGTTTGGAAGAAGAGTGTCTTTTGTATGGCCCCAGAGAGAAGAACCAGAAACATTAGGTCAAAGGAAGCTGTAGAGAAGAAATTTTAGGTCCAATGTAATGGGGAAAACTTCCTAATAATTAAAGCTATCCAAAAATAGAACAGACTGACTCAATAGTGAGTCCCTGCTGCTAGAGGTCTTCAGAGTAAAGGCCAGATGGCAATTTGTCAAATGTTGTAGCTTGCGTTCTTCTTCGAGTATGAACTCAACAAGGTGGTCTCTAAAGTCCCTTCTGACTCTGAGATTCTGTAACTTGAAGATCCTGTGAAGTTAGGTTTGAAGTTATAGGTATTGTGGAATCCCTGTGGCTTTCTGAATAAGTGAATATTATGATATAGAAAAAACTCTTTGCAAACTTTAAAGAGGGACATAAATGTCAGATATTGTTACTGATGATTAAGCACTCATTTGTGCAGAACACTTTTTGTTCAAGAAAAATTACTTTTCAGAAAACTAGGGGAAAAAACTTATAGCAAGTTTCTGTTAAAAGCCTCATTTCTCAAATATGTAGGGAACTGAGTAAAATTTATAAGAATATAAGTCATTCCCCAATTGATAAATGATCAAAGGATATGAATAGGCAGTTTTCAAAGAAATCAAAACTACCTATAGTCATATGAAAAAATGTTTTAAATCACTACTGATTAACGAAATGCAAATTAAAACAACTCTGGAGGTACCACCTCACACCTATCAGATTGTCTAATATGACAGGAAAGGAAAATGACAAATGTTAGCGCTGATGCAGAAAAACAGGAACACCAATGCATTGTTGGTGGAGTTGTGAAGTGATCTAACCATTCTGGAGAGCAATTTGGAACTATGCTGAAGGGCTATAAAATGTGCATACCCTCTGACCCAGCAATATCACTACTAGGTCTGTAT